ACCGCTGTTCAGCAGCCAATCCTCTGTATCTCGATTTATATATGTATTAACAAACTAAGCTCACAAAAAATTTAAATCGATCTGAAATATGATGGGGTTTTTGGTCATTAGCTATTGGTCTATGACGAACACAGTCGCAGATGCAATGAGGTGGTGCAGGAGTACAGGAGGTACCTTACTTCGAGACCAACAAAGAAGCCCGAGGCCGTAAAACGAATTAGATCTAAGGAAGACGACGCGAAAAGCACGTTGGCGAAACGACGGTACTGTGAGGTGGCCAGGTCGCACCTCTGGAGAAAGCCACTGGAGAGGGAAAAGATAAAATTTGCTATCTTCAGCTTCTCAGCCTTTAAATTACCGGGTATGGACGGAATATTACCAATCATGCCTCTGGAAGCTTCGGATATGGTTATTCCAATCCTGGAAGCAATTTACACAGTGTGCCTACTACTTAACAACGTTCCGTTAAGCTGGAGGAAGATTAAAGTAACTTTTATTCCTGAAGCAGGAAAACGTGGTCATGACAATGCTAAAGATTTCGAACCAATAAGCCTTGGACTCAAGACGTTTCAGAGGCTGTTGGATCTGTACATTAGGGACAAAACTTCTAATTTATCATGCTCTCAACATGCGTAACTGAAAGACACGTCAACGGAGACATAGATTTCTGGGCCATAAATTGTCATGGTCTGGTGGTCAGTCCTTACTAAGGATTACATAACTAAGTGGAATTCAGAGGCCAGCGGCTGCTTGCGGAAAAGGTGCAATGAGATCCTGTCCGAAGGATGTTTTGAACGTCCTCCTTAATTTATTATCGATAGATATCTTTATCGAAAACACAGCTACTAACAGCGCCATCAGACTGCGTGTCTTGATGTTATCCTTTCGCCTACCAGACTATGCAAGCGATTTCCAAGCCGAAATGTTTGCAATTTGGGAGGCAGTAAGGTACATCAAGGAGAATGTACCCGCGAGAACGCAAGTAAATATAATCCCGAATAGCCTGTAGGAGAGAGCTGGCCTATATTTCTGATCAATATGAAATTATCCCGGGGCATAGGGACATTTACGTGAACCGAGCAGCGGACGAACTAGCAAGGCGCGGCTCCGCACTGAATGTGTCCCACGCGGTGAGCATGGGGGCCTCGCTCAGGGAGATAAAAGAAAAAATTACCGAAATTTATCACACGAAGACCCAGCACGTCTGTCAAGTTAGCCCTGCACTTTTCGAAATTTTAAAAGTTAACTATGGCATTAAGAGTAGCTTTTTTGTTGTAAATTTGTCGTGGAAAGAAAAATGTGTAGCTCTCATTTAAAACCAAAAAATTTGGTACGTAGTGCTAACTTGACACCATATACCTAGTCGATAGAATTGAGATATTAAAAATGTTATAATAATAATAATAGATTGGCGCTTACACATATGTTAGTGTTTGGCCGAGCTTCTCCTCCGATTTGTGGCGTGCGCCTTGATGTTGTCACAAAAAAGGGAGGGAACTACAGCGATCTAACATCGTTTAGGTCGGCGAAGTATTTCAGACATTGTTCGTCCAAAGGGCTACATTTGCTACGCATTCTTTTGCTCAGGGCTGGCGTCTAGTCAAATCCAGGGCCAGAAACCTGCACCTGCTGTGTATGCCAGAGACGACTACACCACAACTCCACCTCAGTCAAGTGCAATGCTTGCGACGGGTGGAGTCACCTCAGAGTCTGCTCAGGACTACGGAACCATCGGCAGTGGACCACATCATTTGTGGCCACCTGCTGCTCAAACAGAGCAGCCTCCACGACTAACCCCAGTCCACCTAAGCTGCTCAGCACAAACACCACAGCACCACAACACAGCAACACAATAGACCACACCACAACCACGATAGACCACACAACTGACACAACCGCACCGTCACCCACACGCCGCCGCCAACAACTCTTGGTTCCTCCTACAATCTGCACGGTATGTCAGACCAGGATATTCCGTAACGTGACATCAGTCAAGTGCAACACCTGCCTTGGCTGGTGCCACATTAGGGCATGTTCAGGTCTGCGCACCACGCGAGATTGGACGAGGAACTTCGAGGGCCCGTGTTGCGCCACTCGTTCGCAAACCCCTACTGCGACGCCACCCACTACCACCACAGGGCGGCAACCTCCACAGCAGCGCACACAGCCAATGCCGGCAAGGCCACAAACATCCCTCACTCCGGCCATTACCACACGTCTCCCGAACCACATGAAGCTCCTTCAATTTAAATGTAACGGTCTTCAGATCAAGATCGAGGAGATAACCGTCTTCATGTGTCGGCATGGTATATTAATAGCTGCGGTCCAAGAGACGAAGTTGCACAGCAATTCAACATTGTTGAATTGTGCCGGGTACAACATGCACCATCGAGATCGCGAGCGAGATAATGGTGGTGGCTTAGCGTTCATCACGCACCACACCGTGCAGTATCGTCTTATTGAAGCAGACATCGACCGCAGAGATACCACCCTAGAACGTCAGGGCATTGCTATCCGGTCAGGCGATGTTGAGCTCGAAATATTCAACGCATACATACCCCCTGTCACCTGCTGCCCGGCAGGATCACCCTGATATAGCTGCGCTCCTCAGAGGTGAAAACCGTATGGTATGACTTTAGCGCGCACCACTATCTTTGGCACTCAAGCCTGTCAAACGATCGGAGGGGAACAGACTTGGCTGAGCAGATAGATGATTCGACAATCTGCACAATGAACGACGACGCACCCACCAGGATTATGGGCAGCTGCTGCAGCTCGCTAGACATAACAATAGTCAGCGCTGGTCTGATAAACAGCGTATGATGGCGACCTATGCTGACTGTGACATCAGACCATCTGCCATAGTCATCTCGATCGATAAACCAATCGACCTTGCTTCCGCGGAACACCTATATCAACTTTTCTAAAGCTGATTGGAAACGCTTCGCGGAATTTACTGAGAGCACCTTCGCTGCACTCCCCACACCAACTAACGTCCACCTTGGTGAACGTAAGTTCCGCATGGTTGTCACTGCTGTTGCAGCTCGCTTCGTACCGGCAGAATGCATTACCACCCCCGTCCAAACTTCTCTACTGAAGCGGCTGTTCTAGCCGATGAGCGTGACAACCTTCGTCAGGCCGACCCCGGAAATCCCCGTATTAGGGATCTCAACGCGGAGATTCGGCAGTTTGTGAACGTACATAGGCGGAAAGAGTGGGAAGAGCATCTGAAGACTTGCAACTTCACCTCTGGTGTGAGTAAGCTTTGGTCAACCATGAGGTCACTGTCCAATCCGACGAAGCACGACGACAGGGTCGAAATTTCTTTCGGCGACCATGCTTCTTCGGACCCGGAGCGAGGCGCAAGCTATTTTAGCCGGCAGTTCATACTGCATCCTCCGGCGAACAAAGTCAAGCATCGAGTGACCAGAAGGCTGCACAAACTGCCAACAACTTGTGCCCCCTTGCTTTCGCTAACGGTGAAGTACAGGTGACCATCGGGAAGGCAAAAGCCTCCAAAGCCATGGGTCCCGACGGAATATGCGTGCTGATGCTGAAAAATTTGGGTCCCGCGGGAGCAGCGTACCTAACGGAGGTCCTCAATTTGTCAATGGCCACTCTCATCATCCCAGACATCTGGAAGGTTTAGAGAGTGTTCCCACTGCTCAAACCGGGGAAACCTGAAAACAAAGGAGAATGGTATTGGCCGATAACACTTCTTTCCCCGGTAGCGAAGACATTAGAGGCCCTGCTGCTCCCATATTTCACGAACCACCTGACCCCAGCGAAGCATCAGCATGGTTTCCGTAAAGTGCACAGTACAACAACAGCACTTAACGCCATAAACACTCAGATAACTCTCCCACAGAGGCTCAAACGGTGGTCGGCAAATTATCTGAGTGGTCGACACTCGTCGGTAATATTTAGAGAGAAATCGAGCAAACTCAGCGAAATAAAACAGGGGGTTTCCGCAGGGTGGTGTCCTTTCCCCGCTACTGTTTAACTTTTACATTTCACAGCTCCCTCAACCGCCAGAGGGAGTCTCGATTGTCTCTTACGACGACGATTGCTCGATCATGGCGACTGGGAATGGAATTGATGACTTGTGTTCGAAAGTAAACGGGTATCTCTCCGAGCTTTTTCGCTTCTTCACTGCAAGGAGCCTAACCCTCCCCCTACAAAATACTCTGCGACCTTGTTCACCACCTGGACGAAGGAGGTCAGGCTATCGCTGGGAATTCACGTCGATGATACACCAATTCAGACGGTGAATAGCCCCAAAATACTCGGAATAACCTTCGACAGTCTGTTCGTCAGCGACTGGATGCCTTCTGATGTCGCCTGAACACCACCTACACTAATGCCGTTATAAAATTTTCAATATCTAAATTCTCTCGAGCTACAATTAATGCCGATAGAACATTTTCAATATCTCAATTCTATCGACTAGGTGTATGGTGTTAACTTTTTCAATTTCGAAAAGTGTAGTGCTCACTTGACAGGCGTAGCCCGCGCAGAGGTTGAACCGTACAGGATCGTATAGGCTTACCCGGCAGTTCTTGGTGTCCTACGAGCCACTTAATACCAAAACTCTCTTAGGAATGTGCAAAAAAGATGCCTACAAAAGTACTGCAGTGTGCGCAGGGCAGTGGCCCGTTGAGGGTACATGCTGAAAGGATTGGATTGCCCTTCAAGAGGTTCTGGCGCAATTGCGATGACCTTGGCTTAAAAGAGACAGTCGAACACTTCCTGTGCGAGTGTCCAACCCTCGCTAAAGACACTCGGCGAACCATTCCTTCAGAATATTTCAGAGTGTAGCTGCCTGCCTCTGTATGACGTACTAAAATCCACTAAAGCCGCCAAATGGCGATAGGTTGCACGAATTGTGGAATCCAAATGGCAAACTTGCTAATTGCTTGTCACCAGGGTGGTAATCCACTTAAACAAACCAACCAGCCAATCTCTTAAATTGCATTTTCCTGATTTTTACTAAATTTTACCGGTATTAGAAGCGAAGGTTTTAGTCCAAACGTTCTTTCCTGTTGATCATACAGATCGCATCTATTGTATATGTGAAGTTCAAAGCCATTTAATTGCACAGAAAGACGTGTATCGGAGTGCGAGAGATCTAAAATTCAAAAAAAATTTAGTTATATTATGTAATTATTACAAAATAAAGATTTTACCCTCGGAAACATCCTTTGGAACATACGATCGCCACCAACGAAATATGAAATAACCATCCTGCACACGAACTGAATAATCAAATGTAATGTAGACGAAATCACGAAACATAATTTTACCCGCCAAAGGATTCAATGCTACAGAACCTACGAAATATTAGTTTGTTTCTTATCTGTTTAGAGTGCTTTTAATTGTATAAGTACGCTTACCAATTTTAAAATATGCGCCTTTTATAAACCACCGATTGACCATTTTTGTTATAAAAAGTCCAACTAGACGCGAATTGTAGAAAGTTATGTATGTTACCCAGGTTATAGACGTCAGTAAAGAACAAAGCAGCCATATCTACGGAGCATATTAAAAATTATCGATAATTAATTTTTTTTTACAATTAAATTGTCATATCTAAAATAATTTCGTAAATCCAATGTCACGGCGCGTTTGGATAAAGGTGCTGGCCCAATGCAGGCTTGCTTTGCTTGCTTCGCTGCGAGAAGTGTCAAAAATTATTTGGAATATACTAAAACGTATAAAGGCTGGCCAAATGGCAGCTTTTCTTCACTTGCTTTAAGCGCCTCAAAGTTTGAATTAGGCAAATGTTTTATTTGAAAGCGTTTTGTAGGCTTTTGACAAAGTGGTATGTTCCTTTCAAAATACATAAATTCAAACAAAAATTTGCTTGCTTAATTTTAAAAAGTCACAGAAAATGCAGGTAATTCGAAATGAAATAAAAATGATGCATTGTTTCCATATTTATATTTAATATATCGTTATCTTATAGTAAAAAGTTGCAAAGCCCACTTTTACAAATTTTACACGAGAGGAAAAAACTTCTTCTTCAAGTAAATCGCTTTTTTAAGTTAGTTTTTTTAGTAAATGTAGATATAGATATGTATGTATCATTATTATCATTTCTTTTAAATACAAACACTACTTCGCATTAATTTAAAAATAAATCTGAAAGTGTTTCATACATTTTTTAGAGTTAGGAAATAATTATTAACGTTAAGGGAACAGACATTGACTTTTCAACCAGACAGCTGGTTACTTTGACAGCGTTCCAAGCCACCATTCGGCCAAGCAAGTTTTCAAAGTAAATCAAAGCAAATTGAAGTCAGCAAGGCGCGCAAAGCAAGCCTGCATTGGGCCAGCGCCTTAAGATTTAACCCAAAAAGCTTTTGCTGTAATCATAATCATTCTTTATTCTTTATTGTTTATTTAAAATTAGTACAATAAGACTTGGTCTTTTGAAGTACAACAGCAATATATGTAACTAAACAGATTTAGAGGTAATATTAATACTATTAATACAGGAAATAAAACAAAAGATGTTCAAACTAAAAATTATGGACTAGATAAAAACTTAAATATTAAGAAGGTTCATCAACTAGACGAGAAATATATATGGAGGGAACTTTTAAAGTTGCTTTTGTTGAGTTTGGTTTTAACGGAATGAGGAATAGAATTCCAAAAACGAATAGCGTTAATGAAAAACAGTCTGGCAGAGTTTTTAAAGTTGTATGAGGGCAGAATTAAGTCAGAAGAACGTTCCGACTTTGGAAAAATAAGTTTGTCATACAGATAACGTGGTGTTCTCATATGTATAAGTTTATAGAGGAAAATGCAGTTCCTGGCTTTAAGGTAGTCTGAGATGTCACCTCCCAACAAAGAAGACTTCCAAGCGGATATATGGTCAAATTTCTATAGTCCATACACATACCGGGTAACATAATTAAATAGAATGTCAATTTTGTGAGCAGAATTAGAGTCAAGCTTACTATATACCAACTCAGAGTATGTAATTGATCATTGAGTTAAAAATAGAAATATTCTATGGAGGGATTCAAAATATACGTCACCAGAATATCTTTAATATTTCGTACGATAACTTTTCTAACTGAGTTTAAAGCCATCCTATTTGGCAATAAAGGTAGAAACTAAAATCTTTGCACTTTAGCTTTGTAAGCATACAAAAAAATAAAAAAATATATACATTAGACTGCATCGCCAAAAAAAGTTGCGATTTTTCCGCCGGGAGTACAAAATGTATTATATTTTAAGACGTCCACCAAAATATTTCGGAAAAATATTAAGATCTAAGCGAGCTGAACCGATTTGAAAATACCTCCAAATGGAGTTTTTTATAAATAAAAATAGTTTTTTAAAGACCTTTTTGAAAAAAGTCCTCTCAGATGACATAACAGATTGGCCTATAAAATCTGCATAAAAATATTTTAAAATCTTTTCAACGGAATCGTAATAATGAGATTTTTGGTGTTGTTTTTTTACTTTTTTCAAAGATTGATTTACGAAAAACTTAAATAACTGGGCCACAACTATTCTGATTTAGACTTATGTAATCTCGGTAGAAAGGTATTTTCCCACTATTTTTATTTATGTGCAAAAAAGTAATTGGTGTCCCAATTTATTTTATTTTTTCAAATACTTTGAATGATGTTCGTTCATCCTACCTTTCTCTTTCATCCTTTGAATGAGCTAATTAGCAAAGAAATAAAAAGGGTAAGAAAATACCTTTCCAATGATACCTCACAAGTCTAAATCGGAAGAGTTTAGACTTGTGAGGTATCATTGGAAAGGTATTTTCTCACCCTTTTT